TTTGATGCTTTCTCTATGAATTGATATGATGGACGATAGATTACCCTATGTTATGAACGATCTGGATGCTCACAGGATTTTCTGCAAGTGGTCATACTTATGCAGGGCTATAAAAGGGGGCTAAACTTAATAAAGATTTAAGCTAATAAATTTTTTTGTTGGTGCTTGAGCTGCTTAGCCCTTAATAAAAAATATGGTCAAGCTTACAAGTTGCTCGGAAATGAGTAAATGATTGATTTGTGTTCGATGATGGTAATTTTTCTATAAATTGTTTACTTACATGTAGGGGTTATAGAGTTTTTATCTTAAAAAAATAATTCATTTCAAAGAGTTGTAAAAGTCTATAAATGAAATATTTTAATAAAATATTAGGGATACAAAGAGAAAAGAAAACCCTTTATAAGAATTTTTTTTTCATTTAGATATCCTATTAGATGAACCACAAGAAGATTGAAGAAAGGAACCCGACAAAAAAACGAGAGATGAAGACCAAAATGCCTCATTTTAAAACTTGGGTCATTTCATAGGAGTAGAATCCAAGTTGTCGTTGTAGTATGGCCACCTTTACTTATTAACAGATCCTGGGTTGTATAATAAGTGGCACTTGTCACATGAACTTTGGACATTATTTTCTGGTTGATGGTTTGATTTGATTGTTTATTTACATTAATTACGTAATAAAAATTGCATGGTTTTTATAGGTTTTTTTCTTGCATGAGCATGTGTCTGAATTTCGCTAGGCTCTTAGGAATAAAATGAATTTTTTATTAGAAACTAAAACTAAAATTTAGGAATAAATAAAATAGAAAGATAAACATTCTAAGAAAATAAAATGGAGACAATCCGAGATCACACGCATATTAAGGCATTTCTTCTTTCCTTGTTTTATACATTTCCCCGCCCTATGTCCAGCAGAGTACAGATAATCAGACCTATGAGGATGAGGTGCTGAACTTGGGGAAATTTAATTTTTTAAAAAATTATTTTCTAAGCCTTTTTTAAAAAATTCAAGCATTCATAATTTTGATATTTCAACTAGTGTGAATTGTATTAGAAATAAAATTAAAATTAAAATTTAATTGCATTAGTCCTAAATGTATAATACCCTTTATAAGTTTAGGGCCACTTATGGTCTTCTTTAGATGTCAGTCATAAATTCCAAAAACTTAAATAACAGCCTATTCATTTTTCATAAGATCGGACAGTATGATTTTGATGTGATTAGGTAGTTTAGCTGACTTTTTATTTCAAGCAATATATAAGCCCAAATTGCACTTCATTTGATAGGTTTGGGTCACTATTTTGTAGTGCATAATTTAGATTTTGGTTCTGAGGCAGATTTCAAATCTTGAGTCCTCACCCTCAAGGAATATAATCTCACATTTCTAATAAAATATCAACTTAAATAATAAATACTCTCTTAAAATGTAAAATCCAATATAGAATAAACTGAGATTGCCTCTAAGCTTTTAAAATCTGGCACCACCTACTTTTTCTCCTTTAACCCGCTAAGAACTATTTAACATTGAGTTTTTTCCTTAAAAAATTTATGCTTATTTCCTTATCTTCTATTTTCTAATCAAAGGGTATGAAATGGCTCCTTTAATCGAGAGTTTTTCTAGGAGCACGAATCCTAGGATGTAATTAATTATAGGGGTTTTCCCTTGTAGGGACTTGAGAACCTAGATTAAAATAAACATTATTTTCTATAAAGCAAGGGAAAAATCTCTGGGAATGCAAATTTCTTTTCAAACTCACTTTTCTTTTTAATATACTTGTAGAATGTCATTATCGCCTTCCCAGATGACATGATATTCTCCTTATTATCTTTGATCATAGAAATAACGAATTTTATAAAACTCGTTCTTATTTTTAGATGTCATGTAGAATATTATATTCATCCGTCAAGATAATATAATATTCTTCTTGTTACATCTAATTAAAAGAATGGCTAGATTTTCAAAACTCTATTTCTATTTTTAAACACATTCTACAAAATTTCATATTCAACTTTTGAGATGATATGTTATTCTTTGAATTGTATTTGATTATAAAAATATTATTTCTAAAACCCTATTTTGACATTGAATTCATTATAGAATATTATGTCAGTCTCCTGAGATAGTACTTAATTCTCAATGCAGTATTTAATTACAAAATAAGAGAAAACACTAAATCTACATGGCATTTATTTTCCCCCAATATACAGTTGAAGCTTCAATAATGAGCTACATAAATCATTGTTCTCTTTTCCAATCAAACCTTACTAGAGTCTTATGTTGAAAACAAAACAAAGCTCACAATTAGAAGAGCGGATGTCCAATTATGTGCGAACTAAACCCAAAGTACCAAATAGCTGATAGAACAATAATAAATCTTTATCCAACAAATCTTGATATGAATACATGAATCATTTTACTTCATTGTGCCTTATTAAGAGACAAATTCACATTTAAATCTAATAAAAATTGTCATTTTAAATATTTTCTAACAAAGTCTTTTAAGTTTACCTTTACTTTTCTTAACATAGGATGGATCTAATACATCCTAATAGGGTCATCGAAAGGCCCACAATTTATATAACCAAAAAGCTGATAATGAAAATATTCTAGCTTGAGCATGGATAGACTTCTAAATAAGTTACATGAAAAATTTTCTGAATGCTAATGATGTTAGAAGCACGCTAAATTTTAGGAGAAAATATAAACTAATTAGGCATATTGAGAGATTCCCGCAGATGCCTAAATGTTCTCCATTATATGCAACATAAATATTGGCATTGAAAATATATGTTAAGTTTGAAATATAGAATTTCAAGTGTTTCAAGTAAACTAATGTAGAACATTAATGATAAGTTATGCAATCTCAATAGTATGGTAGCTTCCACAATATTTAGAATGTATGGGACTTGTTCATTTATTTAATTGTTACTTTCCACGACTGTGTTAAAAGGAGTCAAAACCCTATAATCCAAGCTCTTCATTACATTTTGACAAAGGTCAACTTTTGCTCGGGTGGGGGGAATTGTGACACCTTTTAATTGAGTTAGTTAGTTCTAGGGTCTACATTTTTTATAATAATCCTTTAATGGTTGAGTATAACATGTATATCAACAATGTTGATTGAAGAAAGCAAAAAATAAAAATAAAAATAAAGTAAAAAAGCTATGAAGAATACAATATTCACAAACAATATAAATATGTTTGGAAAATGTACCACTAAATCAAGAATATGCAATACTAGTATGCAAAGGGTGAGCTGGAAGGAAAAAGAATCATAACAATCTTAATATTTTTCATTCAAATCAACAGAAAAATTATCAACACTACCATTAACATTACCCAACTACTTGGCAACTTTATAAATCCTTCTTTAATCTTCCAAGTGCTACATAAGGTGTTAAATCAATTTCATGCATCATTTTGTCAAATTTTTGGCCAAATTACCTTTTGTTTTATCAGTATTAATTCCTTTTCCTCTAACATTACTGCCATTAACCTGCATTACTAGTGCATCTTCTATCATTTTAGCATATGCCCATACTAAGAATTCAATTTTTCACCAACTTATTTTCAATAAGTGCTACGAACCTTGCTCATCTAATGTAATTGATTCTCACTCCATCCTTTAAAATTCCATCACACATCAATGCATTATCATTTCTGCAATACTAACTTCCTAGTAGTAAAACAAAAAGAAGCATATAGCATAGCTAATCTATGTAAAATTCTATAAAACTCGACATAGGCCTCTATAACATTTTTTATAACATAAAGCAGAATAGGCGCTTCTCCTTATTTAACTCTATAAGTTATGCCTTCAAATATAACCTCATTCTCTTTCATAATGAATCCAAGGCATTTAATCTCATCAAACCAATGAATCACTTTAAGTTCTAGATGCACTATTAGTTTTTTTTTTCTCAATTAACTTTGGTTATGATACCTTTTTATCGAGTTAACTAGTTCTACATTATTTTATACTGGTCCTTCAAAGGATGAGTACACCATAAAGTTGATTGAAGAAGGCAAAGAAATAAGAAGCAAAAAAAATTATGGAGAGTGCAATATTGACAAACAATATAAATATGTTTCAGAAATGTCCCACTGATTCAAGAATATGCAATACTAAAATGCAAAGGGTGAGCTGAAATGAAAAAGAATCATAACTATCTTATTATTTTTCATTCAAATCACAACATTACAATTAACCTTATCTAACTACTTGGGTTAACTTTATAAATCCTCCTCTAATCTTTCCATGTACATAAGGTGTTCACGTAAGTTCATTCATCGTTTTGTAGAATTTTTGGCCAAATTACCTTCGTACTATCCCTTCCAATTCCTATTCCTTTAACATTACTAACATTAACCTGCATTACTAGTGCATCTTCTATCTTTTTATCATATATGCCCATACCACAAAGTCAATTTTCTACTACCCTATTTTCAATAAGTACTACAACCATTGTTCATCTAATATAATTGATTCTCAGTCCATCCTTTTTCATCTAATATAATTGATTCTCAGTCCATCCTTTCAAATTCCATCACACATCTAAGTATTATCATTTATGTAATACTAATTTTTTAGTAGTAAAATAAAAAGATACATATAGCAAAACTACTCTAATTGAAATTCTATAAAACTCAACTTAGGTCTCTATAACATTGTTTTTATAACATAATGCAAATGAGTCCATTCTCCATTTTAACTACCTATATTTACCTCTATAAGTTATGCTTTCATCTATACTCTCATTCTCTTTCATAATGAATCCAAGGCACTTAATCTCATCAAACCTAGGAATCAGATTAAGTTCTAGATGCACTAATAGATTTTTTCAGTTAACTTGGTTCTTAAAGAAACTTTAATCCGATAAAAGAAGCAATCATATTATTGAAGTATGTTCATGCAACATTCAAAAAGTGTTGATACCCTGAGTAAAGTGCAAAAGTAGTAGTCAGTGCCAACAAAGTACCATAGAACTGAAGAACTACCTCTAAAAAGGATGCATTTGCAGGATCATCAAACCTCCTCAATGGACCATCATCAACAGTGAAACCATTCCTCCAAAAGTAAATATTATGAACAACATTCTCAGGTGGTTGGACAACAGATGGTACAGATTCACCTGATAGAAGTCTACCAGTACCAGTAAAATTCCTTGAGCTTGAAGATAGCTGATTTTCAAACGGTCCTTGTAAAGCTCCCATTTGCCTAGCTTGATCAAATATTGCATCCACGTCATGGTTACCACTGGTAGGATCTTGAACAAGCATTCCACTGTTAAAAATTTACAATATTAACAACTGAATATTGTATGACCAAACAAGTATTAAAAACTCTTGACAGGATGACCATTTTTATTCTTGACAGGATTAACGTAGCAACATGCGCCAAAGGAAAAAAAACGTTAAAGTGGATTCCAATAGAATTTTGATCAAAGACGACAAAATTCAAACACAAAACTACAACACTGCTTAGGAAAATAATTGCAAAAGCACGTATCATGTGCAAGGACATGTTGCCTTTACATGCAAATTTCAAACAGGAATCAGCTTCCTGAAAGATAACACATGGTCAAAACAAAGATTAAGGTCAATACCCCTATTACATAGTTCTTGTTGCTGAGGAGTAGTTTCAAATCTTCAAAGAGAGACAATTGCATAATTTTACCAAATCAAATCACAGGTTTTGCATATTCCATGAACCTACTCTAACATCTAGCAGATCCTAAAAAAATCCTCAAAATATAATCGCTAAAGCTAAATCCAGCAGATCACACGAGCTACATCCTAGGTCGTAATGGTGTGGATTTACATGATTTACTAAATCCTACTTAGGCTAAATCCTGTTTGCAACTAAACAGCCACGAAGCGTTAGCCCCACCTCTTCTCACCGCCGGTGTAATACTCCTGTGGCTCATCGGAGTCGCTTCCGGATCCTGGGCCGGAACTCCGCCGATTAAGGTCCGCGAGCGTGCGGATGGCGGGACCGCTGCCCGACGACCTGGTTGCCGGCTTTTTATCCTTCGAGCTGCTCATGGAAACAGGCGATCGGGCCGTTAACAAGGGATCCCGATTCTCCGCCGACGCAGCGGCTGCTAACACCCGGGAATCGCTGGCTAAGGTTTCGGGGTGGCGCTGCTCCTGTTGAAATGTTTCGTCTTCTCCTCCGGCGCTGTTCTCGAAGTAGGAGTGGAGGGCAGAGTCGAGGAGCCAGCCGTGACTCTCTAGGAAGAAGCGGGCTTCCTCGCGAGAGCAGGAAGTGATTCCGCAAAACGACTGGACAAGATCTTCCTGTTTCCCATCACCGCTCGCCTCCATATCAATCTCGCGGATCTCCCTCCGGTCCTTAAATGTTCTCTTTTATTTATATTTAAAGAGCTTCTGGCCACGACGTACCGAAATGTATTTTATTATTATATCAAATAATTACAAGGAATTTAATTATAACTTATTTCCCAAAAAAAATTAATTATAACTTCATTAAATGAAGAAAAAAAATATTTAAACATAAAAAATAATAATATTTAAAAAATCCACCTATCATAGTCATAGGCGGATCCACATTGATTGTCAAGGTGGGCAAATGTCCACCCTCAAAAAAAATAAGTAATGTATTAGTGGGGTCTTTTTGGTATTTTGCCCTCCCTCAAAAACACTTTTTTGTCCTAATTTTATCATCTGAAACTTCCTTGCCCATCCCACAAGTTTGCATCCCGTAAGATTATTAAGCATCGATTGCTTAATAACTCAATGGTTGTCTAGTATCATATATTGAAAAAGAAGTATTTGATTATGTTTCGAACGAAGTTATTATGCAACATTATCAAAAAAATATAAAGTATAATGCAAAATTTGTACTTTTTTATTTCATAAATTATAATGAAATACAATATTTTACTTAGAATTTTGCTAATGAAATATATTCATAGTTTTTTATATTTATTTTTTATATATATTGAGTTTGTCCACTCTAAAAAAAAGATTGGATCCGCTCCTGATCATAGTTTCTTTTTTATATTAAAAAAATTTTATAAGACATAACACACTGAATTATATAATATTTATTTTTTTTTTCAAAGATCATTTTATTGAATATCAAATAATTGCATACAGCTTAGACCTAATTACAACTTCATAAAATGAACAAAGAATATCTTTGCTTCAAATGAAATATAGCAACGCCTGCAATAAGTGCTTACAATATCTCTCTACATGATGATTTTTAGGACTCAGCACGATAACGATGACTTTAGCCATCTTGGGCAGATAGTTGGTATTGGAAAAATGTTTAACAACTTTTTAAATTTGATCCCCAAGGATGCCCCAAGTGGAAGTATTGCTGTAAATTTGAATTCAAGGATTATTATTTTGATGATAACAAATATTTCTGACATTTCTATTTTTCTATTATTATCCTTCCTACTAATGTTTCAGGTTCACAATGTCAATTGCAAATCATGCCAGCTCAAGATTGGGTAGATTAGGACTGAGTTAGTCTATAAGTGTATTTCCAGTATTTTTTTACCTTTTCTTAAGTCAAGTATAATTTTGTGAATCTTGATGCTAAGTAACCTTGCACACACACACTCAGATGGAGAAAATATGTCGGCTTAAGAGTTTTTTTTTTTATTATTAAATCGTACAGGATGATATAATATCATCCTAGATGATTAGCTAAAAATAGAAACTCTTATTAGGGCATCCTTGTTAAGATAGTCGATTTAAGCAAATCGTCTTGGACGATATTAACATCGTCTTGGACGATAAGTTCAAATCAGAAAAAATCAACCGCCAACTCTTTTAGGCATGTTATTATTTTTATACATCATACAGGGCATCGTCCTAAACGATGCATTACAATTATTCCTAAATTAATCTGATGATTAAGGAAAGTAATTAAGTTTGATTGATCGATCACGATAAACAAATCTTAATTTCTTCCTGAATCATCCAAGACGAACAAAACAATGTGTTGGACAATATTTATTGATTTAAACTAATCGTACAGGATGATTTAATAATCGGCTTGGACGATAGGTTATTTTTTCATTGTACAACATATAAAGTCTACCATTAAAAGTTTTATAGGTTGTCAGACCTATGTAATTGTCCCAAGCCTAACTAAGAGGGGGGTGAATTTGTAATTTAAAAAATCTCCTCTTGAATTTTAATAAAAAAAATTGTTTAATTATTTTAACTATTTGATTTTTCTTTTTCAAATAAGCTTTTCAACAACAACTACAAAATGCTAAAAATAAAATGCGGAAATAAAAAGAAGTACATAGAAAATTTATAGTGGTTTAGTCCAACAAAATCTACGTCCACTCCTTAAAGACTCCCTCTTCAGATATTGTACTATTACCAAAGTGACTCTCATTTTGTCCCCACAACATGGTGGATAAGCCTTCACAAATTTCCTCTCTTTCATCAATCCTCAGTGCAGCAGAGTACCATCATCCTTTCATACCCTCCAAGTGTCGGTAGAGTACCATCATCCTTTAACACCCTTCAAGTATCAGTAGAGAACCGTCATCCTTTCACACCCTCCAAGTGTCGGAAGTGTATCGGATCTTCTCCAAAGATCTTCTCTCAAGCAACTAGAAAGAAAAAGAAAGAGAAGTGACACAAAAACAAAAGAGATTCTCACCTTTGAGTAACCTTGTGAATCCATCACACTTCACTTACAAGAACTCTCTCGCAAATACTCTCCTAATTTACCCTTTCACTTGCTCTCTAAGAAATCATGAAGATCAGATTCGTCTAAGTCAGTTTCTAAGGATTTTTTATATGATAGACAAGAAAAATCATCTAGAAATTAAAATTTGTAATTTCGAGCGTACACGATTATATAGTACGATCAACATTCAAATGTATAAACAGTTCAAAAACTACTCCATATGAACATGTACTAACCATTTTCATACATGTTAATTGTCTAGTACGAACCATATTTGTATTGTACGAATAGTTGAGAACATTTTCTGATTCATCGGGATGAAAAGATACCTCATATTTTTGTACTCTGGACATCGTCTGTATGAAAAAGGGATCATACAGTACAAACAATTAGAAAAATTTTGTGGTTCATCGAGTAGAAAAGGGACTCATTCTTTTCGTAATCTGGACGTCATCTGTACGAATATCACTTCGTATAGTACGATTAGTTTAGAAAAATTTAGAGATCATCGGGACGAAAAGGGACATATTTTTTTCGTACTATGGACATCGTCTGTACGAATGTCACTTTGTACAGTACGAACATTTTAGAAATTTTTTATGATCATCGAGACGAACAAGAATGTATCTATTTCGTACTCTAGATGTCCTATATATGAAGGACTCTTTGTATAGTACGATTCATACTTAGAAAATTTTATTCCTGTATTTCGTTTAACTGCTCGTCCCGTATGAATTGAAATTGTACAGTATGATTAGTTTAAAAAATTACAAATTTTTAACACTCTCCCAATGTGTGTGTATACGGTTACTCAATTACAACCACAATCTCTCAGACTAAATAAAAATAAAAAAATATATATTATATTTATAATGAACCATAATCTAATCAGATTTGAAGTCTTCAACAGTCTATAGTATAATTTTCTTGAAATGTTAATACACACAAACAACAAAAACAATATATCCAATAAATGTTAAGAGAAACAGTAATAAATAATAATAATATTTGGAATCATAAAAAACACATGATATGATCATAAAAAACACATGATATGAAAAATATAATTATGAAAACTAAGCTGCAATAATCTCCCCTTTTTGGTGATGACAAAATAATTATTATTTGCGTTAATATTTAAACTCTAAATTTCTCCTTTAACTCCCCTTAAATGAATGAACATATTTGAATATAGAGATTATTGTTAAGATTAAAGAAAACATAAAGTAATAACGCACAAAAAAATAAATACAAAAACAAACAATATCACAAAAATAATCACGAAAACACAAAAACAAATAATATCAACACAAAAACAAACAATATCAACACAAAAATAAAATAAAAAATAATCACAAAAACAAAAACAACAAACCATATTATTACTCCCCTTTTTGACAATAATAAAAAGGGAAGTAGAAATGAAAGATGTCAAACAATAAATCAAAAGAATTGACATTGAAATTTATTTTAAAATAATTGTAATAACAATATTAATTTCATAAAACTAAAAAGAAAGATTTAAAATTTTAAATCAAAGAACAACCAAGATAAGAAAAGTTAATCAAAATCATAATGCATCCGAGATAAAATAAATAAAGATTATTATTGCAAAAAATGATGAAATGAAGATTAGTTAATTTTAATTTCTATATAGAGTATAATTGAAAATTAGATTAATTTAAATTTAGAGATTAAATGATAGTGGAAAAAACATAATAAATAAACATTTTAATTTGTGATATTGCTTATTTTTTCAAATATTTGTGTCACATTTTGTGTATATTTTTCTATTAGAACTAATTTTATGCATCTTTTCAATTTGCGAACCATTGCACAATCTTTAAAGTTATCAAAACATGACATATTTTATTGATATCAAAAATATCATATATATTCAGAATATTGATATCAATACCAAAAACAAACATAACATCATTACATAGACATCTCAACATAAAACAACCACTACAAACATGAAAATAAAAAGCATCATCACATCACTGACAAAAGATTGGTAGAAGTAACAACAAAAAAGTATATTTAAAACTCAGAGAGGCCCTGGTCTGGAGGAGGAGGTTGGGTGAACACTAAAAAATAGCTATTCATCGTATCTTTATTTGTATTTACTGTATCAAACTTACCATGGATCTACCCAACATCCTCCTAGTATCACGCATCCTGCTGATTTAAACGAGTCTCAATTTGATCAAATTGTTGATCAAAATGAGTCTCTAATTGATCAAAATGTTGAACCATTTCCTTAAAATAGTGCTGATCAATTTCAGGTGCAGGTGCTGGATCTCCCCCTTCTTTTTCAGAGTCACTTCTCAAACTCTTGTCTCTCCCAAATAAAGATTGAAATGAAGCATCCGTGAAAAAGATAGGAAATTCTATGGGAGGATCAGGATGGAGTATGTGGTACTTCTTATCTAAGATGTATGCCACTAAGTGTCCTAGAGCAATATTCTTTTTCCTCTTATGATGAGGAAGATCAATTTCAGAAATATTATAAATGTAATCAATGATGAGTTGGGCCTCATCAATAGATTTTTTGATCATAATCGGGTATGTGATAGAGGACAAAAGAGGAGTCATATTTATACGATCACGAGCCTTTGAAAAAATTGAGGTTCTTAAGACATGTTAGATGATACATGCATTTTGATTCAA